GATGGATTCCCAGTTGGGGCACATACCTAGGTTGCAAGTTCAATCCCAGGTCGGAAGGCAAACAATCAACACATTCTCTCTCACATTGATGTTTTTCTCTCTCTCCCTCCCCCTCTCTCTAAAATCAATAAGCATATCCTCAGATGAGAATTTAAAAAAAAACAACAAACAGAATATAGTACTGCACAGCCTATAGTTACAATTATTTTCTCCTGGTAAAAACTTCTGAACAATATGCTTTAGAGTTATTTGAAATTATTTTCTGTTAGGAAACATTAGATTGCAAGTTTTCGTCTTTCTTTGGTTTCCAGTCATCCATAAGGTTTTTTTTCTCTGGTTATGAGTTAATGAAAGATGAAGATATTATAAAAAGTTTGGGAACAGAATCTTACACCTAAACATTGCTGATTCATGTGCTCTAATAAGATCACTGTTCATCAATCAGTTCCTATAATTAATTCATGTTCTCTGACATGATTCTTTGGAAAGAAATGCCAATCTTCTGTTCAATTATTATGCATGTAACAGAATCACTGCACTTTAATTCGGGGTGGCATTTCAATATGTTATTTGTGATAGTCCAACCTATTTCGTAGTCAGCCTATTTAGTTAAAGGTATTATAAGCATACTCAACTGTTCTGAAAATAAAAATAAAAAAAAGACAACATGTAAGAGTAGACTGTAGCAACCTCAAAATGTTCTTAATTGATTCAAAGTGGTGCAAGCTATATAACCTTTCTGTTTCTGTAAATATGCATGAAACATGGGTAAGAAGGCTGTCGACCACTTTTACTTAAACACTCTGAGGGTGGGAAAGAGAGGACCTAATTCCTAAGGAGAGCTTCTGCTGTTCTCGTTGTCTTCACCTCTTAGCTTTGCCCTTTTGGCTCCAGCACCACACCTGGTGGAAGTCCAGCCAGACACTTAGGCTTCGAGCGGCAGGAGGGTTCCTGGATGAAAGATGGAAACTTTACTTTTCCAGGTCCACCTATTGGTATGGAAGGGAGCAATTCAGACCTGGAGGCACCTGCCTTCTCCCCAGGAAGGTNATTGTTAAGGGTCACTGATGGCAGGAGGGTTCCTGGATGAAAGATGGAAACTTTACTTTTCCAGGTCCACCTATTGGTATGGAAGGGAGCAATTCAGACCTGGAGGCACCTGCCTTCTCCCCAGGAAGGTATCATTCAAGGATAGCCCTTATATTTCTTAAAGAGCTCCAACTCTCCTAAGCCTATAGGATTGAATAAGTGGAAACCCATCCATTGCACCTTTGCCCCCACATCCCCACTTCTTGCAAAGGTGGTTTATAGTCCAAGTAACCAGGAGGTCTTCCCTAGTAAATCAGTGGTCTCCATGCTATGGTGGGGTTGGGAGGAAGGGGAAGGAAGGACCAAGAGAGTCTCCTGGACAGTGATATTTAAAATGCTGGTTCTTGGGTTCCACACTTAAGATTCTGATTCAGGTTTGAGCTTAGGACCAAATAATTTGCATTTCAGAAAGTGCCCCAAGCGATTCTGATGTAGGAAACAGTGATATAATTGGTTTGAGAATAGCAATACTTGTGCATATAAATCACTTATTCTTAAGCATCTATTTTATGTTTTTAACTGATGTTGTCAACTCCCTGTTTGGCTTCCGTTCAGCATTTACTGAGCAACTATTATTTGCAGAGAACTGTGCTACTTGCTGCTCTCCTGGTGCCCTTGGGCTGTGTGGGAGGGCTGGGGAGAGGAGGAGGGTGTGATCACATTAGAGAGAGCTATTTCTCAACTTCCTAAAAAAAAAATTACAGATTCATCCTTCCATGATTTGTGAAACAGATTAACCTAAACAAGAACATTACCCAACCACAGTTACTGTCACTTACTAACCTTTTAGGGCACCAGTGCAGCGGAGATGTCATGGCCTTGCCATTGGGAGAGCCAGTTCTGTAAACCAAATGGCCACAGTTCAGATTCTACCTTTTCCACTTACCTGACATGACCACAGATTAGAAATTTAATTTTTCTGTGCCTCGGTTTCCTCCTCGGTAAAAATTAGGCTATAACACCTACCTCAGTGAGTTTCTATGAGGATTAAATGAAACACCTAAGTATCTCATTGATGTAGAGGGCCCCCAAAATCTAAATAATATGCTTAAAATTCATTCTATTTTTCTGTCAAAGCCACAAAACCATCATGAGAACAGTAAGAAATGCTTCCAGGGGCTGATCTGGAATTCCAGGTGGAAAGAGTGGCATTAAACTTCAGGTGGAACTCAGATGAAATGCTACACCCGGGGTGAGCTGGTCATTCGTTCGTTTTCTGAGGTTCCCGAGCCCTTGGCCCCTTTGGGAGTTTGTCCAGCCGATGCC